GTGTTTGAATCTTTAACAACTCTCGGGTAATGGCTTTGCTTAAATCCAAGGCCCCTGCTTTAGGTAAACTTTGGTTTAAACGGTCCTAAACCCCAGACTGAGATCCATGTCTTTCTCAAAACCTACAGTTTCTGATTGCTCAGCTGATGCACCATGTTGGGCTGCATCAGTCATGCCATGTTATGAAACCTAACGCGATGTGACTGATGCAGCCTGACGTGAAGTGTCACAAAGCAACATATCAGATCACAGACTTGAAAGAAAAGAAAACAAACTTTGCTTTTTTTTCCCCCTCAAAGCCTAAATTAATGAAGCAGCATATATTTTTAAAAAGGTGAACTAGTTTCAAACTTTGAGGGGTTTTTCTTAATATGGGCCCCACAGAAAACTTCTCCATCCTGATCAGAAGGTCCCTCCTGTCCACACTCCTTGTTCTTCCCAGGGTTCAGTCAAAACTAGAGAGGATGATGAGCCTGGGTCATCACAGCACTGCTGCCCTGCTGGGTCTGATCCTGGGAGGTTTAGATCACTGTCAGAGGAGTGGCTCCAGCAGGTGCTGGAGTTAATCACCCTTCCTGGGGAAATCCATACATCCTAAAAATGTTCTTTCAGTCCAGCAATCATTGTTGTCATTTTAACTACTTTTGATGGTTATTTTCTGCTGTTGCCTTTCCCTTAGACTGTCAGCTTCCATCCAAAGGATTACAAAGTCTCTTCACATCTCAGTTGCAGACTTGATAGAACATTGTTCCACAACAGAATTATTTCAGCTGCAAACAATATATTGTCCTGTAGCCTCACATCAGAGAAAGATGCAAACCATAGTTTACCCCCTAGTTGGCCTACCTTTTGTCTAATTTTCCTTACTACAAATGCAAGGCATTGCACATCATCTCCTGAGATATCAGGAAGATTCTTATTTTCTTTTTCTTTGGTTTTTTTTTTTTTTTTTTTTTCTCCTGAAGGCTTTCATATAATTTTATTGGGAGATATACAGCGGGTAAAATATATATGAACTATAGCTTGCTAAGAAAGAATCTACCAACCACTGCTAGATAAAACATTATAAATTTATTGCCAACTTATCTGGGAAGGGTTATTTTAAGAGCCTGCTGCCCACAACAAGTTTTTGAGCTAAAATTAATGAATGGGATACCTAAGAGAAATGGGAATTTTTTCTTTACCCCTTAGTTACAAGCAAATTGCAGATATTGTTATCTTTGCAAGCAAGAATAATCTCTACTTTTTGTACTACTTCTGCTGTAAACAATGTACCGCTTGCTTTCCTATGACCCTCACTCTGTATACATATTTATATATTATTCATATTGGATTAAAAATGAATGTGCTCTTTACCACAGTTGTACTGCATAGTGACAATACAAATTAACTTATTGTGTACTTACTTTTCACAAGGCAGTAATGTGAAATTTTGATGGCCTGAAAAAGTAAGTCGTGGGGGAGGCAATGCAGAACTGAATCCTTGTACGTGCACTTTATATTGTCTGATTTATTAAAGTGCATTGAATTAATAAATGACATTCCCTGTATGGAATTGCACGGGTTTGAACTTGGTTCAGTGCTGGGCAAAAAGGGTTTGCTTTTAGTCTGGTGCATGTGAGGTGGTAGCTCCAGCCATGCCTTGTGCATTCCTTGTTTAGAATTTGTTCTTTACAGGAAAGAATTAGGAAGGCTATTTATTAAGAGCCACTTGGGGGAAAAGCATTAAGAGCTGGTTGGTCAGGTCACAGAATCATAAAGTCATAGAATGCTTTGGGTTGGAAGGGACATTAAAAGTCATCTAGTTCCAACTCTCCTGCTGTGGACAGGGACACCTTTTGCTAGACCAGGTTGCTCAAAGCCCCATCTAACCCAGCCTGGAACACTTCTGGGGATGTGGCAGCCACAGGTTCTCTGGGCAACCTGTGCCAGGGCCTCATCACCCTCACAGGGAAGAATTTTTTCCTAATATCTAATCTAAACCTACTCTCTGTCAGTTTGAAGCCATTCCCCTTGTCCTGTCACTACATGCGCTTGTGAAAATCTTTCTTGTAGGTATCCTTTAGGTACTGGAAGGCTGAAATTAGGTCACCTCGAGGCCTTCTTTTCTCTAGTCTGAACAATCCCAATTCTCTCAGGCTTTCCTCACAGGAGAGGTGCTCCATCTTGTTGTTTGGTGGCCTCCTCTGGACTTACTCCCAACAGATTGATGTCCTTCCTGCAGAGCAGAGGGGCAGGATTACCTCCCTTGTCCTGCTCCCCAAACTGTTTTTGATGCAGCACAGACTACAGCTGGCTCTCACACTGCTGGCTAATGGCACCAACTCTAGCCAGAACCATCCTCTGTATTTCGGTGCTAAACACTGCTTGAGGGTTTCAGAGGGTGGCTGATGGGCACATTGCGCCTGCTCGCTCCTCACAGACAGAGCCCCTTCTCTCCCTGCGTGCTGCTCTGTGCACAGTTATCAGGGACATTATATCACAGATGGTACATCCAGTCTCTGGCCATTCCATCACACAGGAAGGACCAAATAAACAGGGTATGTTTTTGCTTTTTTAGCATCTTTAAACCAGAGTAAGGCTAAAGGGCAAGCTGTGCCACTGTCGCAACTTAGTAGAGTGTTTTCTGTTCTTAGCAAGGGAACTGGTTTTCAGATGGTCAAGTTAAACACCAGAAATATTGCAGAGGAGCTGGTGCTGCTGGTGTAGTCTCACATGTCAGTGGATGTGACAGTGGCAGGCCTTTATCTTTTGGAGAAAGGGAAAAATCAATTACCCATGGAGCAAGTCTCCTTCCCCTTTACCCAACATTTCTCTACTTTGGCCAAGGCACTTTGGCACCTTCCCAAGCAGAGTGTGCAGTGGACCCCTCAGCTCTGCCTAGCTAGAGGAGTTGAGAAGGAAAGAAAGAGTCCAGACCCCAGCTGTGAATTCTGGTGACTTTATCCATCTCTGACAAACAATGGGGGAGATACAGTGGTTTTCTTACTTTTTTTCCCCTGCATTTTCAAATATCTCTAGGTTTGCCAAGACAATGAAAATTAGACTTTCTCTGGACCTTATTCATTCACAGACAGTTTTGAGAGTGCTTCCAATTTTCAAATTTTTTTAAGCATATTTGTGCTTCTGTATTGATTTTAGGACTGACTCTAGGAGGCACTAGGGACACCTTCAATCTCTTCTTTACCTATTTACTCATATCTTTCAGCTGAAAATTTTCTCTAAAAGCCCAATCCAATTTATCTAACATTATCTATGTAGGTTTCTTCCATTGCTATTGCCATGAAATTTTTCACTGAAATTTGGCTTTGTAATGATTAGCAGCTTACAGGCGTAATTTTTTTCTTTACAAAGCTGTTGAGGAAAATGTCTTTCTTTTTCCCAGAGAGAACCAGAAGACTGACCGACACTCCATCCCAAGATATAAGCATAAACAAGCGTATTGGAGGTTTTGCAGGGTGGTCATACTTTTGGCAGTCTTCAACTTATAAAAGCAAAGGGTGATGGGGAGCTTTCCATCCTTGAGAAAGGAAACAAGCCTGTAGTCCTGTGGCAAGGGTTTGGGGTAGCAAGCAATATGTTTTGGGGGACAGCTTTCAAGTGGTGGTTTTTATGTTGCAGTAAACTGGCAAGTTATTTGAGCAGCCCAGAGCACTAATGCTGGCTCAGGTGAATTCACTCTGCTAGAGATGCTCATGCTGGTGTGCCAGCAGCTACCCAGGCTCCCATCTCTGCTGGGAAGATTGGTAGCATTCCCACTCCAGTGCAGGTAACACTGGACCAGTGCACAACAGGTGTCTATTTGTATATTTGTTCAATTCTCATCTAAAATCAAGGGGAGAGAGTTCCAGCCCCTTCCTCCATAGTGGGAAGCATAGTCCTCCTCCTCTGCTGCTCCAGAATCTGTTTTATGCCCTGTTAGATAGTACCACAGGAGCAAGGGAAAATGTGCTCTTCAAATGTGGAGATAGGGTATTGTTTTTCACTTATCCTGGTTTTATGTAGATGGTCTGGCACATTTATTTATTCATTTATTTGAGCAAATTAAAGCAAGCTAAGCGCATTTGACCTCAGATGGTCCTGGTTTAAGTTAATTTGAGAGACAAAGCTCATAAAGTTCCAGTAAAACACATCAACAACTTCCCAGCATAGGTTGAAATGTGATTGTTGAAACATAACCTCCAAAACCAGATACAGCACGGAGATTCAAAGTCACAATAATCTGAAAAATATAGGAGAGTGTATTGATAGCCTTACTGAGAAGTGATGTCTTTCACTCATGCCTTTGTTACGCACTCGATTGCTGTTTTACCCAAGAAGTGCATCTATCAGATTTTGTGCATTAACATTCTTTCTCTAATCTAACTTGGACATTTTATTTTAAAGCCAATGATAACCTTGGGCCCCAGTCCAGCAAACACTTACATGCTTGCGTATCTTTACTCACAGGAGTAATCTCACTGGAGTAAATGTTTGCAGGTTTGAGGCCTTGGCTATCTCAATCCATTATTTCTTTCCATTAAAAAGTAATCTGTGCGATTGAAATAAAACATACAATTCTTTACTCAGAAACCCACCCAAAGACAAAGTGTGTTTATTAGACTAAGGGTCTGCACATTGTCATCCTTGAATTGCACTTCAATAAAAAAAAAGATAATTAACAAATGTAAAAGAAGACAGCTTTGTACAGGCTGTATTTACAAGAGTTTAGTTTGGATCGTGGGCTGACGGATTTACGGCTGGGTCTGAGGAGGGAGATGGAATAGCTGCACTGCTCCGGCAAGTCCGAAGCGGAGAATTTTTAAAATGCAGTTTCTTTAACGAGGCATCATGCAAAGAGCACAGATTTCTTATTCTTGCTGAGACCATGCAGCGATGCCCCCACCCAATGGGAGGGGAATCTGCCGGGGGGCTCCGGCGTGTCCAGTCTGCCCAGGCTGTGCAATGTCGGGTTCACGGGCAAAACCCAAAAACTAACCAGGCTCTCGTCTGTCCCGCAGGTCACCGGCCTTTCCAGTGCAGATACTGCCCATACAGTGCCTCTCAGAAGGGAAACCTGAAGACCCACGTTCTCTGTGTCCATCGCATGCCTTTCGACAACAGCCAGTATCCCGACCGCAGGTTCAAGCGCTCCAGGGTCGACTCCGAAGCTTCTGGGAATTTGGAGGAACCTGCAGCTGTCAAGCCGGGGAGCTCGGCAGAGCTAACGGAGGAGGGCAGCAAGGCCCAGGAGTGACACTGCTCGGCGGGTCCCTCTCCGTCCTGCAGTAGCCTTTCACACCAGGTTTAGATTCATGTTTGGGTGAGAGCTGGCTTAAAACACCTTCCAAGGGAAGGGGTGACAAGTTCCCAGAAGTGTACAGGATGCTGAAAACATTTAAGTATATGTATATGTACATGGACACACGGACATGTATATATATTTACAGACACACGGAGAGATTCAGTCACA